GACGGGGCGTCGTCGCGCGAAAATTGTTTGTCGCGGCAGATCCGCGTGGCGATTTAGCCGGACGAGTATTAGGAACGCTCGAGTCGGTGGAAAATCATCAACGGGAGCGAGAGTCAGCCTGATTTATTTATCTATTAGCTGACACTGTACTGAAACGCATTCATACACTCGATACGAATGTGTCCAAATTCTTAGATCCGAAAACGCGAGAGACTAGCGGAAAAAGTTAAAAATTTTTGCAACTTTCTCAATTATATTGCAATATTTCAATATGTACAGTGGTGAGCGTAGTTTTTCGACCAGATATATTTTTGATTATACGTTCAAAAGTGATATTTTCAAAATTTGTATCTACGTAATATTATATAACTATATAAATAGTGTTTAATGGCTGTGCTGTTTTCTTTTACATGGCATGCATAGTATTTAACTTAGCAACATCTGACATTTTATAATAATGTGTTTACTGTAATAATAATCTCTTCTCTCTAAACCTGACATCTTCTAAAATAACAGGAAAATATTTCAAACAGAAACTTACTTACAGAAATTTAGGATAGTTAAAGTTTGCTAACATTTTACGAATTAAAAAATTAAAAAATTTTTCAACTGTCAGATTCTAGATGTGGCCATAGTTCCATTAATTTTTCCATGAAACCTGACGTCTATAACAAAACAAAACCATATTTCAAACAGGACTTGAAACTCACTGCCAGATTCTGAATATGACGAGAGTTCCCATTAATTCTTAAAATTTCAAATATTTTTACATCACAAGAAAATCCACCGAAAGATAGTATTTGTTCACATTTATACGAAATTAAGCCAAAGATGCAACCTCAGATTTGCAAACTGAGAAAAAGAATCTTGGGTCGTCCGTAAAAGCAAGAAACGGGATCCCATCAGCTATCTTCGTCATACGAATCCAGGTCAATCGAATCCTGTTAATTCTTCATACCGTGTCTGGTTTACAAACTCGAGTAAATAGTCGCGTAAAACGCGATACCAACAAACACCAATAAAAACATCCTTCCTTCCTCCTTTTGAAGTACAATTTAAAACTCCTGTGAAACAGGCAGCTTAACGAAAACAAGTATCGAAGATTCGAAGCACTTCGCGAACTTTGACCCTCCAAAATCCTGGCAAACAAACTTTGTGCAAAACTAGCTATGTATTCTTCAGTTTTATTACAAAATCGCCGCTAAAATTAACAACACACTCATATCTATCGATTCAAACACTAACCCGAAAAGAGTCTCGAGAGCAGATTTTATATTGCACGTTTCATTTCGAAAATCCTCAAAGGCAGACGCCTCTATTGATACGAAACAAGTCATACTCCTCACTCCTAGGATAAATCTATTGACACAATAGTTGTAACAGAATACAGATATGTAACTACGAAATCGCAGAGTTTATTATGCTCCATATATATTTAAAAATTTTGACTTCTAATACCACTAACCCAATATAACTAATAATGTATTTACACATGCAGAATTTATTGTATTTGTCCAGGAAATCGAAGAAAAGGGAAGTAGACTTCGTACTGCATATATCGTCTTTAAACTAATTTTAAATTACTCAAAACAAAAATGTTAATTTCTGAATTCTCACTGAAATGGAACGAATCTATCTTGCACGATAAAATCAACACCAGTAGAACTATCAAAGTAATCATCTCTTTAGGATGCCAGATATTTAATCGGAAAACCTAGAGAAAGACAACATGTACCATTTCCAAATTTTTCTTCTCTGATAAATAAAATGAGTCATATCCTTTGTTTCCACTACAATAACGCAATCATGGCCACGAGCAAAGATTGCCAAATATTTAATCAAGAAACCTGCAAAAAGAATCTTGAACGCAGATATTATACTCCACGTACGTCAACAAATTTCTCAGAAGACAGTGATTCCTCATCCCCGAAATCGTTTAGTTTGTAACTTTCCAAGACACTTAGCGAGCTTCCCTTAGCCACGCGTTTCCTCGACTTTACGATCTCGGCCGCAATCTTCTCTCCGACTTTCAGCCGACTCTCGATCCACGAATAAAGACGTTTCTACGAAGCTACTACAGAGCAACGACGTTGATCATTCTCATAGATATCTCCGATTTACGATTACAATTTACAAATCTCATTGGTCCACTCTAACCAGGCGGAAAAGAAAGAAAAAGGGAAGGAAAGAGATATTTCTCGATCAAGGGACAACTGGCGCGACCAGGTATTCACGCGTGGCGATCACTCGAGCGAAAACAAGCGGCGAAGAATTACATTCTACTGGTTATCTGTCAGCCGGCCGTGTTCAACTACGGGCATCCGATTAGACAGTCGCGCGCACTTGCCAGGGTTTGTAACCACTAGACTAATTCACCAGAACCGGGGAGAATGAGCCACACAAGAACCGAGTATATATCACCGAGCGTTCTTCGAGGAGACGACGACGAAAAAGAAACAAAGAACAGAGCCGTTGCGCACTCGGCGACCGCCGCGGCAAGACTGGGGTCTGCTACCCGGCCGGGGTAGCTGCCATGGCAACCCGACAACCCCCGAAAGCTTCATCCCACGATCGGGTCCTCTCGCTCTTTTCCATGGTCTTCCGCAGTCGTCGATCTCTTCCCACGCGATCTCTTTTCATCCGTTGGAACCGTTGCTGCACACACGCTCTCTATCCTCTTCTTTTCACCTCTGTTTCACGCCTACCTCTTCGTCCTTTCACTCGTGTCATTTCACTCGCACTTGCAGCCTCCCTTTCTCCGTTCCTCTTCGCCATCCTCCCTCCCCAATGTTCCTCTGGAGCAGAACGGAGCTGGCCTCGCGCAAGCTCCGACCGCTGCCGGAGGAAAAGTCGCAGAAGCTCGTGGCCTCCAGGAGAATGCTCTGTCGCTCCGACTCTCTCCTTTTCTTTCTATCTACAACGTGAACGTGCGCGCTCTCGCCCGTACAGGCACGCCGTTACCGCGTGATTCTTCTGATACACAGGGTTCTTCTGGTTTTCTTGAATCTTCTGCTGGTGAGATCTGGTGGCGAGCGATTTCGTGACGTTTCCGGAGGAATTGTTGGATTTTCCCTTTATGCGGTCGACCAGCGGCGGTAATTGTTTGGGTGGTTCAATTTTTAGATGAACAGTGGGAAAGGGTTGGCACAGGGTTGTTGAAAGGATGCTGGATTTGGAAGAGGGTTTAATAGTTATGACGGGAATTGTTTTTGGATGTTGGATGAGCTTGTTTTCTCTTTATGTTTTTATGCTTGTCTTCTTATGGTACATTATGCTGTTGGTTATGTTCGTGTCGTATAGTAAATTGTGCTGTAACACATATATACGATAATGATAGCTCTAGCTGTCTTATAAAGAGTTGTCTAAATTACATAATAGATAATCTTGTGATGACTAACCGATTCACAATTATTTTCATTGTTAAAAAATATGTCGGTAAAGATAATAATTCCAGACAATTTCCTGCCGTTTTCTCTGTAGAAAGCAACTGCTTCATATGTTTCTCTTTCAACCTTTACAAATAATTTCGATCACTGTTATGTATCGTAATAGCGTATTAAGGAATAGGGTTATACAACGCTGAAGCTCGATTAAATGCTTAAACCTACCTTTCCCTCGCAGCGAAACTTTCGCTTGCGAGAAGTTAACTTGAAACAACTGTTGTTAATAAAGAAGTTGCTAGTTGCTTGCATAAAAGTTCCGTACTTGCGTAACACATTCTCGCGTTACTTGTACATCCTGCCATAACGTGTTAATTAGGCGAAGTGGAAAATCGATCCGTAAAGTTTTGCCACATCGATCGAATATTTAAGTCGATTGACTTTGCATATTGCTTGGTTGGTTATTGATTTTAAGATATGAATTTAAGATATGAACAATATTGACAATTCATGAAAGGCCTTTTACCCTATTTTTACGTTCTGAGGCCTTTAATGCAGCAATGTAGAAGTAACAAGGTCTAAATTAGAGTGCCTTTCACGTCCCAGCAACTTCCATTCGTATAGAACATTTTCTAAAATATGACACAAATCTGGCTTTGGATTCAAAAGATCCAGCAAAATACATTTGATTGACAGATCTCTGAAGAATGTGCTTTTACACAATGTGAGTACTCAGCTCAAAATTTATGTATTCCATATGTAATTCTAAAGAAAAAACCAGTGGGTAACAATATCATAAAATTATTGCTATCAGAGATACAATAATTAATTACTCTTTAAAGCTAATAATGATTAATTACCCTTATTATTTATTATTCAATAATAATTCAAACTCATTACTATCTTCGGTACTAATTTGTAAAACTAAATATTTATATAATTTGAAATTATCATACAAATTGATAAATTAACTTATTCTCTGTCCATACATTTTGGAAATATCGGTGACAAAAAACAAATTTCAAAGTTTTCTCTCCGTAGGTAAAACAAATTTCTGTTTAGGTTTCATTCCTTTAATTATATTCATAAGTTGCGTGAATATCTATAATTCTATACTCTTCGTAGTTATTAATAATATGTGCAATTTGACACGCAGTTAAAACCTATTTAAGAAGATAGTAGACTTATCTTTCAAGACTTATCTTTAATCTTATGGGAACGACCAAAATCTTACGTATATTTGTCAACTGTCTCAAAAGAGGAAATAAGACGAGCGTCGACATCGTCTTTATCATTCGTTGGAATGCACTCGAAGCTATCGTTTTATCCCCGATGAATGTGAGGATGAAAAAAGACATAGCTTCTGATGGGTCCTCCTCTCTTTCCTCTGTCTTCTTCCTAAGGCGACCCGTATAGATTACAAAGGAATAGCTTGTAGGAATGTCGAGCTGGTTCTTTACTGGGTGAGAAATGCCAGCTCTCGAATTTCTTCTTCCTGTATTCGCGCATCGGATGCCTGCGAAACAAACGACTTCATTTTCGCGCAGTTACAAGGGATGTTGCCTTTCCACTTTCTGACAACTGTCGCTACACTTTCTGGTCGTTTCTATTCCAAGATTACAATTTAAATAATCGATTTTTAATTTAAGGAAAAATATTATTTAATTTAATTTAATTATCATTTAACTTAATTAAAAAATCTTGAATTTGAAGGAAAGGATTACTTAATGATACGAGTTTTATTGCACTGCAGCATTGTTGGAAACTTAGGATTGCAAGCAGGTTACTCAAGAGATGTAAATTAAAATAGTAACTATAACTTTCGTAAGTGACTATAGGATACAAACACGTGAAATTATTCCCGCATAGTAACAGCCAATATACAGTTTTCAATGCAGGATGGAAAGAAGAGGCGCTATAGCCACGATTCGTCCTAAAAAATCGTTTAGCGGAAACAGTATATCGGTGTGCAGTGGTCAAAAGATTAAACATCAAAGGCTAAGTCTACACTCGATTAATTCTTGGCCGGCGGATGACGGTCGGTGAATGGCGATTACTGAGTCATTTCTAATCCATATATTTTTTGAACTATGTTTTAGCCGTTATCTTATCGTTATTGTTATTATAACGTTATTTTTTACAATTGCTAGCTTGCACAAAGTGCTTGTAATTTCTTACGACACAAACTATATGTACCAAAAAATATTGTTAAATATACTGATAAACATACTATCTATCACAACTAATCTTCGATGTATCAATCTTATATCAAAAATATTGGTAGCATATTCTGCATATTTTTTATGCATTTAACGTTTATCGCACATTTAACGTGCGGTCTAGTTACATATTATCTTTTCATTATTATTAAAGGACCGCGGGTCTATATTTCAAAGATCAACATACATTGGAAACTATAGCCTCTACCTATGTTTTCACGCCACCAAATCATACTGCAACCGATGTATAATAAAAGGAAGGAGGAAAATTTTGTTCCACACGTAAGATATTCATAATGTCGAAAACAGATGTTCCCAACAGGAGATGTCGAAGAAAGATCAAAAACTGACGTTCAGCTGTTGAATTTAAGGAAATTCCGCTTCCCGACGGCGGATAATCTAAAATTAAGGAAAACATATACGCCACCCTCCAACGTTCTGCATAAGCAATGCATCGTGCGAGACAGACGAATTTATTTGAACCCGTTGTCTTGGCCACAATTACTGTAAACGTATCCTTCACTTTTAAGAGGTAATTATTACTGTGGAACGATAAATCTGCTTTAACGTAGCTCCCCTCCACCTGCAAAACACCTTTTCCCTGTCTCCTGCTTTTCCACGCTCTATTATTCTTACTCCTCCCCCTTTCACCCCGTATGTCCCTTTCCCTTTGTATAGCTTTCAGAATTTCTTTCACGATTTCTTTCTCTATTTCCCCCTTTCTCTTCCAACTCTCTTCCTCTAGATCTCACTCTGTTCTTTTTATCTTGATCGTTAAGTCTTCCCCTATTTTCCCTCCATTTGTTTCTTTCTGGCTTCTGCTTGTTGTACATGCATCGTTTCTTTGAACTGTTTACCCTTCTTTATATGTATACACAAAGCGATACGTAGTTTACGGTTGTAGGAAGGAAGTTCTCCATAATTTCGCAGATTTCGTTCTGTTCTGCAGATTAGAGAGACTTCAGTTCTGGGAGAACTTGAGGCTTCAGTCATTACTTACTAATAAAATCATTAAAATATGACGCGCAATATATTGCACACGAAATTTTTCCAGGGTAAGACTTCAAATATTTTTGTGAATGAATGAATATCGTTCGCAAAACGATTCCTCCTACATATTAATTCCATCATTCTGAGCAGTTAATCCTCAACTACCGCTACTGCTATTCATTCACATAAAAAGCCACGTTTTCAGCGTTATACTGGAGAAAATCAAACTTTCCACGCAACCATTCAACTTGCGTTAAAAAGAATTAATACTCTGTATTTTCACATGGATCATGTTTGCGCTCGTAACACAGTTCTCGTTTCGAAATCCTCCTACATACGAATCAAAATAAAACCGTAAACGAAGTTTCCAAAACATTTCTAACATTCATCCAGGCCGGAGGTATGGGGACAACTGTAAATTATCCTTGGTAGAGCATAGTCACTAAGTTATAGCAAAATGCCAGTGGTTTTCAGGCTTTTTTTCGTGGACACATCTCCGTGAAAAAGGGGGTGATAAGGTAGTGGGCTGGCCAAACTAGCGTTTGCTGTCAGCAGAAAGAGAGAGAAGAGTTTTAAACG